AGGTTAAGACCAAAAGCTGCAATAGATATCAGAGAATTGATGATAATTATTGCTATCAAGGTGTTTTGAAAGTCCGTAGACTCCAGCAGGATACGAAAAGGCTGACCTTCATTAGCTGAATGAATTGTGGTATTGTTTCTGTCCAGGAAGGAGAGAACTGAGAAATTATCGTGCGACGTATTCATTTCGTGCATAAACACTTGTCGACAACGCTTTAATTAAGCAAATCCGTTCCTTGAATATCCTGTATGAATAGGTATTAGTTCCTTAGTTTAAGCTTTTCAGTTTTCAAATCAATCATTCGATTGAATTTATAACAATGACGAAGGTGGGAGGCAAATACAAAATAAATGTCATTTGATAAACACCAAATATACTAGTGTACTTTTAAATTACATGAATCTTCCTTCAGGGTTTTTGGCTGATATTTACTGTCAAATTGTCTTCATAAAGTATACGGTTCTGTGATATAACTTTAGGGTYCATCAAAAGTCTTTACGTCCAACACTCGGCTCGTATTGCAAACGCTGAGGCAAGATGAAAGGCTATTACAAAAAATTGAAATAATACTTTCCAAAACCAAAAGTAATGAAAACTGATAGTGACACCTGATTGATTACATGTACGTGAATTTTTGGATTTTTAATATATCTATTAGTTCTATTTCAATTTTTTAATTAAGAATCAAACATTTTAGTTTATAATTCCGAGTAAATTAGAAATCAAGAATGGAGATATCACACTTCGTAATGTTGGAAAACCTTTCGGTTGATGTTGACTTTGTGGTAAAGATTTTGAGGAACTTGTATTGTCTAAACGCCCACCTTCATGGGACATTCTCCAGTAGTTAAGAAGTTGTTTCTGACATTTTTATAACTAGATTTTTAGTGATATATCTATTTTTAATTAAARTCTGGAGTGATTTCATCGAGTGATTTCATTTTAATATGTTGGTGAACCGACTTTATTACAGAACTTGAAGGTAAATAATGCACTGAAAGCGGCAATAACTGACAAACAGTTAAGATAAAGGAGTTCCAGGTTGGGTTGGTGTTCATCAAATGACTAATTTCAAACTCTTCTCTTTTATTGTTGACGTCCGGGAAAATGGCATCCTTACTTTGAAAAAGCCTTCATGAAAGAAACACTAGAGTGACAATCTTCAGAGTCTAGAATATTAATTTCGATATAAAAATTGACAACTGGGTGCTACGAAATGAATGGTTTCAATAAGTCCTTGGTTCAGTTTCTAAACCACACAGCTCACTACGGCACACTTCTTCAAGAAAACGAAACCGAGCCTCTTCTTTTCTTGCTGGAATCTGCTGGTAAGCACTTTCAAAACACTGTAATAGCAATGATTGTCATCAACTCTCTGATATCTATTGCAGCTTTTGGTCTTAACCTTTTGATCATAGTGACTTTATTAAAGACGACTTCCTTGTGGATACCCTCCAATATTCTTTTATTGGGTTTGGCTTTTTCTGGTTTGGGAGTCGCTGCCATAACTGAACCTGCGTACTGCTGCTTCTTGGTTGCTATCTTAAAYGCGAATTTCAAATGGATGGAAAATTCAAAATTTGCATTTTTAACCGGGTATTGGATTTTCTTTTCGGCATCGCTTTTAACAGTCACTGCTATTACCATTGACAGATTTCTTGCTATAAAACTGCATTTGAGATACCAAAGCATCGTTACAACCAAAMGAGCAGCTATTGCMGTGGCTTTTATCTGCATTTTATCAATCATATGGAGATTTCTTCCAATGAATAAAATTATTTGGAATTTCACAAGTGAATTTTTTACATTTCTATTGATTGCTATCAACGTTTCTGTCATGTTTATGATATCTAAAGTGGTACACAAGCATCAGTCCGAAATCCATGCCCAGGAACAATCCGTGCAGGTTAATATCATTCCATATAAGAGAACTATAAACACTATGTATTTTATTATTGGAATATTTGTGATATGTTTTTGCCCGCAATGGATYTTCAAAGCTGCCGGATATTTTGCAAAGCAATGGAGTTCTTCGCTTAATATTARTACAGCCAAAATATTACTTGCTGTAGAGTATTTMACAGTCACATTGGTGAATGTTAGCAGTGTTTTTAACCCTATTCTGTACTGCTGGAGAATCCAAGGCATGCGCAGTGCTGCAAGTCAAATATTACAAAAGCATTGGAAGACATTGAAAACATGCTTCTCTACGAACCGAAACTCATGAGGGGATTTGGATGTTTTATTTCCTTACGAGTTTCTGCTGGAACATAACAACGTATACTGTCATACAATGAAATGCATTTTAAGATCGCGGTACAAAATCACAATTCAATTTTAGGCTAAATTTCTCACTCTGAAACCACGAAAACGCCTTTTATTAAACTGTGATAGAATAACCTAGCCAACAAATGCATTTCGGTCTTGGAATTCCCTAACTTCAATATTGCTCGTTTCCCATGAGCCTGTTTAAAAGATAAAAGACTGGCGCCCTTGTTGCATGATGAATGAACAATAGATACTAATGCCTTTATTGAAGTTCATCCAAGACAGCGGGTATGACGTATTTTGACAATGTAGAATTAAAGTACTTTGTAATGAATAGCTATATAATAACTAGAATAAATAAGCGAGAACTTTGTCAGTTAAAGCTAGTGTGGATATGATCAGTCCTTCTGTGTGTTCCGGAACTTTATTTTAATATAGTATATGCACACAAAGCTTTCAATAAAGGATMAATTCAATCATGATAAACATTCAAATAAAACTTTCAAAAGGATCGATCAAATCACGATATACTGCTTAAACTGACATTCAAACGTTGTCGCGTGTGTTTGCAATTAAACAAAGATKATAATGAAAAATAGAAAGTGAAATAATAACAAAACTAAAGAAAGTTGTGTTTTTATTAACACCAGTAGTTTCATATGGTCATCTTGCTAATAATAAGTTTGACTAATTTTAAGAAGATGAGAAACGTCATGATCATATTATTAAAATTCTCGAAGTTTGTCTTAATCTTCAATGTTTGTTGATATTGAATATTGGATGTTTGCCGGCGATATTGCCGGAGTGGTATAGCTTTAGGTCATATAAAATTTGTCAAAGTCCAATAAAATTGTTGATGATCCAATACAGTGGAAATTGTTGTATATTCCTCACGAAAATACTGAAAATTAAAAAATTGCAATTTTAATTAAAAAGTGAGACGGGGAATCAGATCACGCCGTCTTCATTGAAGCGTCTCCACAATAGAGGATCCTTGAATAACCAATAAATTTTTAATTTCTTTTTTATTTAAAGTCTGAACAAGAACAAGAACGAGAACCATACCAACTGCCAAGACCATATCCATTAAGTGTTCCATGGGTGCAAGCATGTACATGATATGAAGTTAGTTTGTTTGATACAGCTATACATAGATCTGAAGAATTGCAGAGTTATAGCTACTTTCCGATGAAAAGTTTTTTGCTTTAAAAAGCAAGAAACTACCAAATGCAAGCTCATTGAAATTGGAATGGAAGACTTTGTTGGTATTTGCTGAATCTTCTTCTGCACTTGAAGCATTTTTTTCCAAGCTCTTCGTGTATTTTCCACTCTCTCACCTCTTTTATCCTTCGTTACTGCTACAGGAAATCACCAAAATTCACAAGCATTTTCATTGAGGAAGTCACTTTTAGCTACGTTTCGCCAAAAAGATTGCAAGAGCACTTTGACCTACACGAAATGAATGCTTACAACAATACCTCGGTTCTTCCTTCTCTAAATGACTCATTTCACAGCGCAATACTCCCACAAGCGAAAGGCCACTTTTCGTTCTTTAGTCTTCTGTCTGAATCAACAGACTACCACATCATCATCATTGCTTTGATTGTCATCAATTCTCTGATATCTATTGCAGCTTTTGGTCTTAACATTTTGATCATAGTGACTTTATTAAAGACGACTTCCTTGTGGATACCCTCCAATGTTCTTTTATTGGGTTTGGCTTTTTCTGATTTGGGAGTCGCTGCCATAACTGAACCTGCGTACTGCTGTTTCTTATTTGCTCTCTTAAAAAAGGAACTAATAATGTTGAGAAATTCTCACTATGCAGTTATGTTAGGCCACACTTTTTTCTCTTGCACATCGCTTTTAACAGTCACTGCTATTACCATTGACAGATTTCTTGCCATAAAACTACATTTGAGGTACCAGAACATCGTGACAAGCAAAAGAGCTGTTTCTGTTGTRACGCTTACTATCTGCATAATGTCAAGCATAAGTGTGCCAGTTCTCTTTCATAGTCTTCGAAGAATTCCCATTTGGTATTTCATTGCAATCAATGTTTTCACATTTCTATTGATTTTTGTCAATGTTTCACTGATGATAATGATATCTAAAGTGGTGAACAACCATCGATCCCAAATCCACGCCCAGGAATTACAATCAGTGGATTTTAACTTGACTTCTTATAGAAGGACTGTCAACACTATGTACTTAATCATTGGCMTTTTTATTTTTTCTTTCATTCCATATTGGATTTTAGGATTAATGGCATTTGTGTTATCTGAACCACACTTTAACTTACTTGATTACGATATCGCTGCTATAGCCACGTTTTTAAGCTTTTTTACAGCCACATTAGTGAATTTGAATTCTGTTTTTAACCCTATTCTGTATTGCTGGAGAATACAAGGCATGCGCAATGCTGCAACTCAGATGTTACAAAATATATGGGCAGCCTTGAAAGCATAAACTCCATTTTACAGTTCCAAGCGCCATCTTGAAAGGTAACCAAGCCTTTTCATCAAAGCCAGACAGGAGAACTTATGAAACTTATTATTATTATTAAGAATCGAGCACTGCTCTTGACTTTCACAAAATATTTGGACAGCTTGAAAACATGATTTATGGCAGGCATATCAAATGGTGTTTACAATGGATGATATTTTGTTGRAAAATAACAGAGTTCGAGTCCTAGGTTCATACCAAACTTATGAACCTGACAAACATTGTATGATTCCTCTTAGTCTTTACGATCTTGAAAGGCTTTAATGACATAGGAAGCCCAATAACCAAAGAGAATGACAGTGGCAAATGTTGAGGAGGCCATGGTTGATTATAGTAGTGTATTGTGTAACTTTGAAGAAACTGTCACAACTTGACAGTACTGAATGCAGTCCATGTTGTTTTTTAAATGATGCGTATCAGTAAAATGCATTTCAATTTTTGGATTTATAGACCGATTAAAATGTTTTTTAAATAGTTTTTACCGACAAAATAACGTTTGGTAAAGTCACTTACATAAATTTGAAAATTGACATAAAGCATTGTGGGCAATTTCTTAGGCTTCCTGTGTAATTCCCATACTCTACATTATACATAAATACATGATATAGATAGATACATAGGTAGGTAGAATGAAGTCACAAACAATACAGGGGCGGCGCAGCGTTTTTTTTTTTTTTTTGTGGAGGTCTGACATATTGAACTCAAGGGTATAGAGATGGTTTATAGTAGCCTCCTCCACAGGCAACTCTTTTTTCCTATTTGGGCTTCCTTTGTAACGGTCATAATGGCCGTTAGGGACTAGTGACGAGATAGGAAAAATAAAAAGCTCCACTTTTCTCGCCCCCATTCTCCCTCTTTTGACTCCTAAAAAAGACAGGAAGCCCGTGATTGTTAGTGATGCCTGCGGAGGAGGCTAGGTTTATAGAGCCCGTTTGCTCCGCTCCGCAAAACGCCAACTTGAAGCTTTAATATTTCTGTATATTATGGACTTCGGCTTTCTTCAGCAAACGCAGATAAGTAGATATATAGATACAGAGATTGACGAAGAGGTGAAACTAAAGTATAGCCCCTGCGGGTAGCACGAATAAATAAACAAAATCTTCTTGCTTGACTAATGTTGTATAAACGTATTGATTTGCATGTGTTGTTCTTTCAATAGAGAGACAATAAAAACATAGACAATACTAGACGAACTGATTTTAATACTGAAACTCAAACAGAATATGTAAAAGTAGGGTATTTTAAAGGAACAAATATAGCAACTGATGGGGCTTTTGACACTTGTAGTGATTGGGCTGCTTCTCGGTACCAGCTTTGTAGCATCTAGTGCAGGTAAGACAATAATGCGAGCGGCGATTCTTTAATACGAGTTTCGCAACAGTACTTGAAAGGTTTGCGGCATTTTAATATAAAGCCTCCGAATCTCGGAAAAAGCTGTCAAAAGCTACCAAAAGAGAGTTTATTAGTATTCTTCAAAAAAAATCGCGCGGTTTAAAGGCTGTAAATTTATTTGATGTAAATATAATGTAAATGTGTCCAAAATTCTGGAAATTTGATGTAAATGATTTCCATTAAATTTACAGAATTTGGGACAAATGCATTATATTTACATCAAATTTACAACCTTTAAAGCGCGCGGTTTTTTCCAGTGCTTTATAAGACTTTAATCCTTCATAAATGATAGTCTCCTTAACTCTCTCCTAGTGAACGTATATGACCGGAAATATCAAAACTTTTGGCTATATATGGCTTTGTGATTAATGCTATATATTTTTTTCTGAACCAGATCGCCTCAGCTGTGTGAGACGTATAAGTACATGGATACCGATCTTTTATTGATAGTGCGTTATAAATTGAGACCTTTTTGACATTCCAGACTTGAAAGTGAAAACGAAAACCAGAGAATAACAATTGTTTATCAGAGTGCAAACACTATAGCGTGGGAAAAGACTGACCAAATGCTAAGCGCAACAATAGCCGTATACAGTGATTAGACCATGGAAAACAAACGCCAGTTTTTGTATGCAGTACAGCACTAGTCTATTAACTATTTTTATAGTTTTATCGTTAGTTTTCTCGCTCTAGTGTATTTTYAATGCTTTTTATAAAAGTAACCTGACAAATATGGCGAAGCTGAGCTTTCCATTGTTTTGTTTTTTTAATTTGTTCGGTGTTGTTTAATCTCTAGATTCTAACGTGAAAGTAAAGTGCAATGGAACGCACATGGAGGTACAATTRACACATTCATACATCTCTGGTCGTGACTCACGAAACCTTCACCTGAACGACCCTGCATGCAGAGCAACGGCAACATCGAATGTCGTTTCTCTACGAACAGCTCTGAACGCGTGTGGCACTAAATACAAGAACTACACTGATACTTTGGAGTTTGAAAATGAGGTAAAATTATTTATTGTATAATTCAAGTGATCTTCGTTTCATAATGTCAAAAACGTCGGACCTTTTTATTTTTGTGATTTTATCTTATATGRTGATTTATGTTATCACTAACGTATTCTTAGAAACACTGACTCACCTGTAGTCTAATGTGTAGCATAGTGTACTACCTAGATACCAAGGGGTTCCCAATTTCCCTCGGTCCCAGGGCTTCCCTGTTCGCTTTGCGCCCTGGGAATGAGGCTACCTCTGGGAACTCAAAMTTAGAAAGAAGAGCGGAAGGAAGAGAAACGCCTGCGAAGGAGKCTAAGTRCCCGTTATCTTTTTCACAGGTAAAGGATGATCAAAAATACGTAGATCCAAATAAAGAGATCACACGTCAAACCACGATCCTGTTACGTATTTACTGCAAGTACGCAAGAGGGCAATACGTTGGYGTTAGCTACGAATGGAGGACAACAACGCCAGCACCTACGAAAACATCCGCTGCCAACAACCATAAAGTCACTTGSACCAAAGGATTCTGGGTATTTGTGGTCATCAGCTTGTCCTTGGCTCTCATTCTGAKTGAATATCAGCTGTAGCCAAGGGTATCATGAGCTGAGGGTTTCATCTCTTTGCGTATGCCCTAATAGGTACATTCTGAGGAGGTTGAAAGGGGCACAACTAAATATTTCAAGTTTGCAATTCACTGTACACATGGAGGCAAAACTTTTTGGCATCCTAGTTTTATTTTTTTTCGCGAGAGCTGTTCGGATACAGTTAAATAACTCGTAGACTACAACTAGTGACCGTCTTTAGTCCCTTTAGGCGGACGAAGGTGTTTTATAGTTCAGTCTCCCTTGCAGCCGATGTAAGCGTCTGATCGATAACCGGCTGTGTGAATACACACACCGGCTCACACCAAATCAAAATCAAACGTGCAGACTGCACACACTTCTCACTTGGTGTTTGTACTAAATAACTATAATCAACACACGAGTCATTCTTTTAGTATATCATATTTATATATATTTATATACTTTACTTCCAGTCGTTAAAATGGCCACACGTTACATATCAAGTGATATCAAAACTGCTTTTGATAATATGGATATTTGATAATGCTTATAAATTATTCCCTTCAATGTTCTATGCTTTACCACTGAGCTTATATATCATAGTCTTCAGTGGCATATATTCGTCAGTCCAGTACATGGACACTAGGCCTTATGCATAACATACACAAAAAACACAATATTTCTATGTACTATGTACTTCTGGCACTGACTACTTTGATTACACGCTCAAACCACGTATAGCGCACGGGAATCTAACCCCCGTTGAGTACAGTCCAYGTAGCCTCGGTCATGTAAAGCAGTCGGCTGCTTTCGTGGAAAGAAAAAGAGTATATTATTTATATGTACAACTTGAAAGCTGCCAGCAGCTTAAATCATTGGCAATGGTGYTTCCTCCTATGACGTCGTCAAATGTTCGCCGAGATGCACTATGGGATAGAAAAGTACCAACTGAAGTCATGCAGTATGTCGAGTTGATTTGCGAACAGCAAGCATTATGTGTTGCTGATACTGGTCTTTGAAGAAATTCTCGATGTACARTCATCTTGTTTGAATGTTCTTTTAAATCATCCTTGATCGATACTAAACTTTAATTTAACCGCCATTTTGATACTTCGCCAAATACCATAATGCATTTAGCCAAATCAACATGGCCGTCACGAGGACGGAAGACCACATGCATTCAAATTATATTTTTTTCGACAACTTTTTCATTATTCAGAACTCTTTCATAACCAAACTTGGACAGATCGAGAGTAGAGTATTTCTGGTCGATGATTAGTTCGCTAACAGCTCGTCCGATTCCTGGAGAATGCTGAATTCCATGCCCACTGAAGCCGCTGGCRAAAATCAGGTTAGCGATGTCAGGGTGACGACCTACTATGGCATTCTGGTCTAAAACGTTGTAGTCATAGTAACCAGCCCAYGCACCTTGAATCTGAAACAATAAAATGGTTGATTGGCAACTGACGTCGCGACATTTTGAGCGGACTATCTACAGGACTCGGTTGTACAAAGAGGAGGGGGGGGGGGGTTTCCCCCCACCAAATAATTTCTCATAAATTGGACATCAAAGAGAATGGGGAGGGGAGAAGAGCGATCATTACTTTAAAATGACGTCAAATACCTTTAGACATTCAAATGCTGGGATGTGCTGTGCAAGATCAGGCCATATATAGTCATTGAAGTAATCAAAGTCCACCTCGAGGTCGTCAGTGTTTGGCTCATCTTTCTGCAATCGAAATATTCGTCATAAAGATGCAACAAGAATTATCATGAGTTTTGAGCGACCTTTTTACTCTTCAAATCATACAAAAAGTCGATCTTTAGAGCTTAGGCCTTGCCCAAGTGATTCCGGATTTTTTTCCCGCGATTTTTTGATTACGGGTTGCGTTGCACACTTTTTCAGAGAAGGTCTTCAGAAAGGATGTCCGAAAACGCCCAAATACGAGTACGTGTGGACACGACTAATTTTTTTAGGGGGATACATACATTTCCATCGCATTGTGTGGGAATTCACTAGGCCGAGAAAGTTCAAAAGATATATTWAACCTCTTTATAGGGGCTGCACATAAATCGAATCACTTACTAGTGAGGGGCACATTCCACATATAAAGTTCTTGCCTTCACGTCGAAACCAAACACCCTTTCCAGGCAATACCACAAGCGCATCATCAAGTGTTAAACCTGGACAGTCTACTACAAACACATATCGCTTCCTTGGTTCAATGGGCAATTCCACTCCTAGCATTGCAGCAGTCTGGCCAGACCAGCAACCTGTGGTCAAAGCCACAGTTCCACAGTTAATTGTTGACTGAGTGGATGGAGAATCAATTGGAGATATCTAAAAGTTGAATAAAATTAATAATTATCATGTAGAACATTTTGGGGCAAAAGGGCAAGCTATATTTGTATTTATTAAGTTGGAAGTGGGAACCAGAAGCAGATCTAGGGTTTTCTTTTGGGAGCAGTGCAGGTGTGGGAAAACCAAGGAGCAGGAGGAGGTGCAAATTGGAGAAAAGGTTATARAGACAATGAAGATGTGAAAACATTGGAGGGTAAAATTTCTTAGGGGAGGGGTGGGGTGGGGGATTGTTGTCCCTGCAAAAACTGGATGGACGGATGAGTCATAGGGAAGTTGTTTGTGGCAGAAAGGGAGTYATAGCTTCTTCAAATGTCCTTTTAATGAGGGAGAGGTCAGTGTTGAGCAAGAGTGGTGCCTATGCTGTTTGCTTCCATTTCTACTTTCAATATCAAGGCTCTTTCGGGAGGTGTTACCTGCATTGCATCTTGAATTTTTGGATGCAAAGCAGGCAATGGAAGGTTCTTCTGGTTCAATTTGCTTCATGCATTCACTATACTTCATTGCTTCTGAAGAGTAAATTAAATCACTCTCTTGGCACCTTCCAACTGTAACCAGGTCATCGGGGGAAGTTTCATAAGATTAAAGATTGATTTCATCAGYAGTATTGATGTCATTACCCAAATATCAGATACAACTTGTCCCTTTTTGAGATTGATGTCTGTTACTTCAGCGTTGATGTACTTGACTCCAAGTGATAGAGCTTTTTTCTTGAAGCAGTTCAATAATGCCCATGGATCAAACCAGCCTTCATTAGCTGTACCTACACAGCATAAAACAATATTTCATTATTTTCAAATCAAGAAAATATCAAAGGATGAATTCAAGGGCAGATCCAGGGAGTGGCACAAGGGGTTGCTCCCCTCCCCCCTCTAAGTAGAAAAAGCTGTTTTATTATTATTTTTAGTGTTGTTTATAACAAATAAACAAATAAAGCCCATTAGTCCCSCTTAAAGCCAMTTAGCACCCCCTTAAAATTTCAGCTGGATYTGCCTTTTGTAAATTGTACAATCATACATTTAGACCAAATAYTCAAGCTTTTAGGCATTGCAACACACATTTAGTGCAAATATTTGCACATTTCAAGTATTCCAAATAAGATCTTGGGCCTCTTGTGACTCATGAGCTAGTACATTATTAAATTACCTATAGATGCTAAAGAAATTCCCTCAGTACTGAATGCTGGATAAATTTTCTTTAGCTGATTGGGAGTTAGCAGTTCAACATWACAGTCAAGTTTCCTGAGTATAAATTAACAAATATAAAATAATTAACAAAGGTGTTGTAAGTTAACTCTCTGTTTAAACTTGACAAAAACTTGTTACATATAACACAGGTTGAGGCCTTGTTTACATGACATAGTGAGTTTTTTTTTAGTGGCACTAACTCCTTTGTTTTTTTGTGTGTGTGGAGGTTTTTTTTCAATAGAGTTTGGCTCTACACCTAGGGGCACCCTATCTCATCCAAGTACAATAATTCACATGCATTACAAGAACACAGGGAACCCATTTTTTTTGTATCCCTACATAAGGCCCATTTACACTTGTGTTTTTGATTTTTTTTTGTCAAGGCGATCGTGGCGCGACAATCATCTGAGTTTCGTTTTTTTTTGAAATTTAGCTACAACTCAGTGACGATTTTGATCAATGTTTTTTTTGCAGGGCAATGCATGTCATCATCATATATGGACGTCATGTTTTTTTTACATGATAAAGATCCAAAGAATATCAACCCAAATAGTCACCTTTGAGTTATATGATTCTCAGTCAAGGCTTCAACACCTTTCTCTCTTTTTTTTAGCAATAGATATCTGCCAAGCCTGAGATTAATGTGAGCATTTTTTTTTTCATCAACGGTTAGATGCTTGTCAACATTAGACAAAAATTGGAATCCAAACTGGGAAAGTTGAATGTTCTCTGGAGTAGAGAACTTTTTTTTTATTGAGCCAACAGACAAAGACGTTGAGCAACTTGAATACTTTTTTTTAAATAAGAAGAAATTTAGGATTTTGATGCAAAATAATTCTTTTTTTTAAACATTGTATGCAATAATATATGATTCAGTGGACATATTTTTTTTTCATCCCCCATTCCCCCTCTCCACTCACACGTTCGATCAATTTTTTTTCTCTCCTGCTGTTTCTAGGGACAACTGTAACAAGTTACTTTTTTTTTACTGCATTCACCAATTTCACACTATTTTCTTACTAGTCGTTTTTTTTGCTCTTATGCAATTATTTGCACTCCATAACAATGTTCGTTTTTTTTTTATTGCAATCTATTGTTGCTACAGTACAAACGTTTTAAATTTTTTTTTTTACATTACCGTAGGATCACGTTCAATGACACATATTCTTTTTTTTGGTTGTCGTTTAGCTAAGAAGTAAGCTGAAGACGACCCCATCGCTCCTCCACCAAGAATAGCGACATCGTAACAATTTGAACTTGATTTTTTTTTATTTGATTTCWCTGAACAACATCGRATGTTGTTRGATATTTTTTTTAAWTTCTGGCTACAGCGTGTCACGAAAGTCCTATTCATGTTTTTTTTACAMAACAAATATGGAGGTAGGATTYGGTCACTGCATTGTTTTTTTTCATAACTCGATCAAACCGGATGTAAACCGGATTTCTTTGTTTTTTTTGAATGAGCGGGAAGACGAGGGGACTGGTTTTCATTGTTTTTTTTTTTATCAAGAATTGGGTTTCCTGTGCAACGTTGCGAAATTACAAGATGGCGGCTGTTAGTTCTACGAAGAAGCCTTTTATTATAGGAGTCGCTGGTGGCTCAGCGTCTGGAAAGGTTTGTACTGTTGGTGTTTTACTTAAAATGTTCATGAACTTCCTTTTGGAATAATAATTTGCTTTTGCTGACCCAGAATAATAGCTAATAGTGAAAACAGTAGCTCAGGAGTCAGTTCAAACTGCAGTTGTTGGCTTCTTGCCGGCATTTTAACTAAAAAACGTTTTTTTTTAACATTTTTACTCATACATTAATMGGTTTAAGAGTTTCTTTTTTTTTTTCAAAAGYTAGCTACAACAGGASTTTGCAATATTCCCTTTTTTTTGGTTTACCTAAAGGTCTGACTCTGTCAGATTCCTGCTGTTTTTTTTTAGTTTTTCTCAGAAATGAACAATGTTAATGCGTAAATGTTTTTTTTTTAAGGAGTGAAGATATTTGTTTAAAAATTCTACATTTTCTTTTTTTTCCCTGTTATGCAGATATGTCTACAGTGGTGAATATTTTATTTTTTTTTTTCAGCGTTAATAATGTTTTTAAAATAGTCACGCAGACTTTTTTTTACAGTTTCATTGTTTCATCAGCCAATCCAACGCTGCTTATTTTTTTTCATGACGTGTCTAAACAGAACTTCACAGTGTAATTTGATTTTTTTTTAAAATGAACCAGTACCAAATGCCCTGGCTGTAAATTTATTTTTTTTTACATACTTCCTGGACAACTACTTTAGCATGATTGATTAGTTTTTTTTTATAATTTGATTCATTTGACGATGGGCATTGATAGCATTTTTTTTTTTAAAATATGATATGAGTTGTATTTATACTCTTTTGTTTTTTTTTTTTCTGAAACAGTCCTGAGTAGTTTTTGCTTTTTATTTGCATTTTTTTTTGTAATTATGTCATTTCTACAAAGAAAAATTTAATTTAAATTTTTTTTAGGGAGATGTTTTAGGGGGGTTATAAAAAGTG